GGGTGGGGGGGGGTAGAGTCTATTCTCTTTTTGGAAAAGGAGAGAATCTATGTGTGGCGATCCATGTTGGACATAATAATTAATTATGTGTGTGTGGTGCAACCGATGCGGTGCAATCTGCCCAGTGCAATCTATGGGGTGCAATCATTGTTGTGCGATCTCTGTTGTGCAACCTATGTCGTGCAGTATTTGTGGTAGAATCTGTTGCGGGGAATCTGCGTGGTGCAGCTTTGGTGGTGCGCATTCTGTGGTGCAGAATTTGATGTTGTCAAATCAATTGCCCGCGCAATCATCCTGCCGCCCGCCCGCGACCTGGTATGCCGAGCCCGTGCGGCGGCGATTGCTACGGCTGCTTGGCGTTGGCTGGCGCATCGCCGCGGCCGCGCTTGCGCGCGCGTGCTTGCGCGCGCAGCGGCCGGGTTGTTTGGCGCGACCGACGCGGCCGCGGTGTCGCCGACCGCTGGGGGCTTCTCATCGCGTTTCGCTAGCGTTGGCGCGCGGGCAGATCGGCGCGAAACGGTGACTCGGTCGGGCGCGGTGTCATGGCGACGTCGACAACGGCAGACGCGGCGGTGATAGTGGCGATGCCGGTGACGATCGCGGCCGATGCCGACTGCGCCGACGTCAATGGTGGCGTCCACGCGTGGGTGGTAAGGGTGTCGCGGATCTCGATATTCGCGCGTGGCCGGCGCGGGCGAGTCGCGCGCGTGATCGGAGTGAGGGTGCCGAGCTGTCATGCAGTCTCCTTGGGTGCGGGGCCGTGGGATTCCGCGGCGCGCATTGTTGCTGCGTTGTTGCTGTTCTTGCTGTCTGTTGTTGTTGTCGTCGTCCCGCTCGCGGCCCGGCCTGTTGCCCGCCCGCGACCCGCCCCCGCGGCCCGCCCGCGGCCCGCCCGCGACCCGCCCCCGCGGCCCGCCCGCGACCCGCCCGCGACCCGCCCGCGACCCGCCCGCGACCCGCCTGCGACTCGCTTGTTGCGCGCCCGCGACCCGCCCGCGACCCGCCCGCGACCCGCCCGCGATCCAGGCCGCGCCGGCCCCCTCGCCCTGATGAGCAACTGCGGCGTGCCGCGTCTTATTGGACGGGGGCCGCGCCCCCCCGCCGCGCGCGCAACTTCGCTTTAATTAGTTCCACATGCGCGTGCGAGCGGCCCGCTCGGTCGCAAGTGCGCAAACAAAAGTTTCGTCTCTTGACTTCGCAGGGGCGCGCGCGCATTTCTTGCGCGCGCCATGTTGCAAGGCCGCTTGTTTTCTTTTTGTTCGAGAACCTCGATTTTGAAATCGCCGCGGAACCGCAGGTATTTGAAGGATTTCGGCACGCGCGCGGGGTGGCGCGCGCGCGGGGATGGCGTGAAGTCGCATGTCGAAATATCGATGGGCCAGAAATCGCACGTGAGCTTCGCGCCCCCACGGGGGCGGGGTGACGACGCCGTGCTCGGGGGGTGCTAGATCTCACCTCTTTCTTGGACAGTAGAACTAACTAATGCTCGCTGGTGAGGCGGGGGAATCCGTGCGAGGCGGCCGCGCAGCGGCCTCCATAGGTGCAGTTCACCAATGTTCAACTTGAGTTTGTCCACCACACTGCTCGCGCAATCGTCTCATTCACTCGCTCGCGCTTTGGTTTGCAAGCCCCATGCTAAGGCGGTTGCGATTCGTGCATGGCGTTGGCTGGTGCATCTCCGCGGCCGCGCCAACCCGCGCATGCGCGCGCGCAGCGGCCAGCTACTTTGGCGCGACCGACGCGGCCGCGGTGGCGCTGACCGTTGGTCGCGTCCCAGCGGGCACTTCAGTGCGCATCGGCGACTTGGGCGGGCGCGGTATCATGGCAATGTCGACAACGGTTGATGCGATGACGATGGTGGCGATGCTGGTGGCGATATTGACAACGACGACGGCGCGGCCAGTGGCGGCGCCGATGCTGCTCACGCAGACGACGATGACGGCGTCCTCGCGTCGGTGATGCACGTTTTGGAAGGAGTTCGACATGCTCGGGGCGCGAGTGGCCCGCGTTGTATTATTTGACACGGATAGTGCCCCCCCCAGCACGCGCGCAAGGGCGTTTGAATGATTGTGGCATGCGGCGCGAGAGGCCCGTTTGGCATACGTCCATAACATGTTGGAACACATTCTTGGTTTGTGTAAAACAATGGAACATTCCAGGATTGACAAGAACGCGAGCGGAGTTCTGAAAATTGTTGTTGCGATGCCATTTTTTGTTTTGGGGGGAGAGAGAGAGAGAGAGAGAGAGAGAGAGAGAGAAAGAAATATATACATATATAGAGAAAGAGAGAGAGAGAGAGAGAGAGAGAGAGAGAGAGAGAGAGAGAGAGAGAGAGAGAGAGAGAGAGAGAGAGAGAGAGAGAGAGAGAGAAAGAGAGAGAGAGAAAGAGAGAGAGAGAGATAACGAAAAACAATGATTCTTGCGATATCACGCGCGCGAGCACGTTCGAACGATTTCGACATGCGCGCGCGAAACCCGTATGGTAGCGTGACCTAAAACG